TGCGCGACGCGGTGACCGCCGTCTTTGTTTGACGGCTAGCAGCCAAAAGCCGCCGCTGCTACGATGATGAGCGGAGTTCGCCTGATTGATGGTTCATGCTCCTCGACGAGAAGTGTTAGCGGCCAATTCGTGAGAATTTTCACGTGGGAGGAAACCGGTCAGAGGATGGCTGAGAGGTGGCAGATGCGGCTTGATGTAGGAGGCCTTCATCCAGCAGTGGATTGACCAGGGCAGGTAGCAATGATGACGATGATTATGTTATTGTTCACCTCCCCACTCTCTGGCGTGGAAGAGGAAGGAGGAGGAGGTGTTTGTTTTGGAGCAGGTTTGTGTGTCGGTGGTGGCAGGGTGTGGTTGTTCGGAGTTTCTAAAAACGGGTCCACTCAAATAGCAGGATGCGTATGCCGCGGAAAGCTCTTTCCGTCCCACAGGAGACCATTCTCCGACAGTGTACCACGCAGGATGCTTTCTCAGCCAATATTATCCATACTAGATGGGATTTCGTTTAGATCTCGTGAATATAAATACGTCGTTAAACCCGCCACCACCCGACACAGCCAATTAGTGAGGTTTGTCACGTAAACAGAACATGGCAATTCCAGAACATCTACATTTTGGGTACTCGAATTCGAATGCTCGAATTGTAAATGTTAATTTTATTTAATTTTATGATATTTTATGTTTATGTTATTTTCTATCCACGTGACTTTACCGAAAGAACCAATAATATGAATTCCTGCAGTCACGAAAGTTTTAAATCAAAAGTTGACAAGGTTGTTATTAATATGAGTAATAGCCCAATTTCCGATGGTCTAAAGTCGTTTTTCGCTAAAGGATTGAACTTCGCAGTCACCCCCAAACACATACCAGTGGATGACATTATTGCCCAGGTCGATGTAGCTCTTAAGGGTTTGGGACACATCGCTGCAGACGTGACAAGATCTGAAATCGCTGCAACCCTCAAAAGCGCTAAGATACCATGCAGCAACATCAGTAAGGAGGAGCGATTTGAGTTATCTCAATTAAAAAAGAGGGAAAATATCGTCATCATCTCAGCCGACAAGGGCAATGCCACGGTCATTATGGACAAAACCGTGTACAATAACAAAATTCAGGACCTACTCAATGATGGCAGCTACACAACATTTTTAAGAGATCCCACCAACTGCCTCGTTACAAAACGAAGTCTCATCACTGATTCAGCTTCATCAATTGAACAGACCAAACGGTTTTCCTTAAAACCTTCTGCTGCTCGACCACCCAGACTCTATGGCTTACCAAAAATCCTGAACTCAGCTCACCTGGTATCGTCAATTAAAGACATCTCACTGTCCCGAGGTGATTTACTCGTGAGTTTCGATGTAGTTTCTTTGTTCACCAAAGTTCCTGCGCCCGATACCATTGCAATAATTGAAGATTTGGTCCAACAAGGACTGAATGCTGATGTTCCAGCCCTGGTGAGACACTGCTTCACCAATACATACTTCACTTGAAATGGAACATTCGACAAACAAACTGAAGGCACCCCAATGGGCTCTCCCTTATCTCCGGTTGTGGCCAACATTTTCATGGAAAATTTTGAGACAGACGCCATCCAGGCTTCCACTCTACGCCTGTCCTTGTGGAAGAGGCACGTGGATGACACGTTTGTCATCTGGCCACATGGCCGACCGGCTCTGAAACAATTCCTCAACCACATCAATTCCATACACCCAGCAATCAAATTCACCATGGAGGTAGAAAAGGATGGCATGCTACCCTTCTTGGATGTCTTAATCAAAAAAAGACCAGACAGCTCATTGAGCCACTCTGTCTACAGGAAAGTAACCCATACTGATGCCTACCTAAAACCTGATTACCACCACCATCCATCCCAGAAGAATTCCCTCATCAAAACGCTACACCATAGAGCTCAATGTAACTCCGACCATGAACACCTGACCAGTGAACTCAAACACGTACACCAAGCTCTCAAGGCGAATGGATATTCTGACTACACAATCTGCAAAGCCATCACCCCAACTGTGAGGAAGGAGCCATCTGAAGATCCAATCAAAACCATCACCTTGCCTTACATAGTAGGGATAACCAAAAGGATTTCCAAAATTTTGAACAAACACAAGATCCAGGTCCGATATAACACAGTGCATAAAAATTCGTGACCTGATCCCATCTGTGAAGGACAAGATTCCTGACATGCAATATCCCGGCGTCTACAAACTAAGCTGTATCTGCGGCAGCAGTTACATTGGGGAAACTAAACGACATGTCTCGGACCGTGTTCGTGAACACAAGGCAGATCTGAAACACGGCAGGACCAATACTTCTGCCGTAGCTGATCATTACTTTAATGCGACTGGCTCACACGAAATTTATGTTTTTTTTATCTTTTCTTTTCTATATACGTGTCTTTACCGAAAGAACCAAGAAAATGTTGTGGGTTTTACTCTCCAACACACTGATGTGCTGAACTAGTACCGCATTGCAAATGTTGTGGGTTTTACTCTCCAACACATCGGTGTGCTGAACTAGTAACGAATTGGCCACATCATCTACGACAGTCAAACCCAGACTTCTCACTTTTTTTTCTCCCGCTCGGTGTGGGTGTTGTTTTTTTCTTCTTCTGTTTGCACAAACACGGATACGGCCACACCGTGGGTCGATGTAGGCCTGTGGACTTAAAGCAGTCGATGGATAAGTTATGTTTGTCGCTCCCTTCACGCTTCCAACTTAGTTTAGTGCACGAAATCATTGCGAAAAATTGGCACATCCAAAGGTAGCAACAGGGACATTTTTAGTCGTATATAAAAATGTGAATATACAGGGTGCTTAAAAAAAATTACACTTCCGAGAATTTGCAACAATACCACGTGACAATGTGCTGCTGCCTCCGGGCTCTGGAGACCACCTGGAGAAGATTCCAGGCCACGTGTTGACAATGATGGCGAACAAGTGGGAGACTCTTTGACTTTTTAAAGCTCTTAACATACATTTTTGTTATCGTGTTACATTGTCATATCCGTTATTTTTCCATTAAAAACGAGAGACCCATGTAAGTGTTACAATTTTTTGAAGCACCCTGTATATCTTTACACGGCTAATACGAGTGGCCACGTAAGGAAATTGGAAGCGTCAAGGTCATGCCACCTCCGCTGGGACTGACAAGTTAGATATCTGAGCTGGACTCATGGACCGCATCACAATAGAATGTATTCAGAATGAGAATATGTATTCTAGACTGGAGGGGGAAACCGATGAGCTATGAAGTTATCGTTCACAGATGTCCAGTAAGCTTTATTGTGGGAGCGTTATTGCTCAACCATCGCCCATTCTCCTATGCTGTGCCCATTGTCAGGACCCCCCACCCCTTCCCCCAGACATCTGTGCTGTCGACTCCCTGCTCCGACTCAAGTCCAGGCTCAAGGCGGTGGCGAGATGTTAACTCCCTCGTGTGGTATGCAGGAGGTTATGGGTTCGATCCCAACCCTGACGCCTGCTGCTGTATATTTGGAGTTTGCGTGTCTCTCTCTCATCATCATCACGGTGGCTAGGAGATGTTAACTACCTTGGTATACAGGAGGTCGTGGGGTTCGATCCCAACCCTGACGCCTGCTGCTGCATATTTGGAGTTTGCGTGTTTCTCTCTCTCCCCGTGGTCACGTGAAATTTTCTCCAGGTCCTCCGGTTTTTCCCCTCCACATTTAGAACCAACAATGACGCGTTTAGAGTATTTGGCTGATGTAAATTTCCACGTGATGATAAGCCACTTCGTTGAGCTATCATTTGTCATAGCCAGGTCGCTTCTGAAAAAGAGCTACATAGCTCAGTGGGCCTTACCTGGTAAAATAAAAACATAGTTAATAGTTGAGTTGTATAGTTTAAGATGTTCCTCCTATTCTCTATTCTCTGCCTGTTTGCCTCTTTATCAAAGAAATGCGTTAAACGCAGTCGCAATTAGACGCAGTATAGATCCATATTGAGTTGTACAGGGTGCCCCATATGTCTTGTGACCCCCCTCCCCCCCAATTGATCGAACCCGAGCGTTTTTATTTTCCCTTTGCATATTCATTTCTATTCTTAAATGAACTTCACTTGTACAAATATTAATTTTTTTGATAATGAAATGGCGGGGGGGGGGGGGGTCATAAGATATCTGGACCACCCTGTACAACAGTCCTGTGGATTCCAGAATTGGGTTTCTTGTGTTGCGGTCAATGTAACGCTTCCAGGCATGTGAATCAATTACAGGGTGCAGTACAATGAAGAAAATATGCATTTTGATTTAAAGCTTTCGTGACTGCAGGGATTCATATTCTTGGTTCTTTTGGTAAAGTCACGTTGAAGGGAACAATAAAATAAGAAAATATATATAAAACAATAAAATTCTCACGACGTTTCGACTGTAACACAGTCATCATCAGGTGTGAAAACCAACCGGGTGCCGGTTCTTGCCGTTGGTTTTCACACCTGATGATGACTGTTTGTGTTACAGTCGAAACGTCGTGAGAATTTTATTGTTTTATATATATTATTATTTTATTATTTTATTGTTTCCCTTCAACGTGACTTTACCGAAAGAACCAAAGAAGATGAATCATTGCAGTCACGAAAGCTTTAAATCGAAATTTAAACTGCAAGGGCTTGTTTTGTCTCTCCAAAATACCCAACTTATAAAAACGTGCTTCCATGAACACATTTGTAATTAACTATAATGCGATATAACAACCGTTGTAATATGCGATTCAGTATGATAGAACGCAATTTTAAATGCCATACACACGAAATAAATCTATGAAATGCAGCTATGCAATTGGCTAGTGCCGATCACTGCCCCCCTCCTCCTGTGCCCCCCCCCACCTCCCCCCTTGTCCCCCCCCCCCACAACCCAGCAAGCGACGTCCCCAGCGCGGAGATGCGGGTAGCTCCGCGCTGGGGACGTCGCCTCCTCCTCCTCCCTCCCTCCTCCAGGACTCGTCCGCGACGGGGCGACTCTTCCATTGGCCGGACCAACGGACAGACGTCCCCAGCGCGGAGATGCGGGTAGCTCCGGAGATTGCGGGGAGGGGGGGGCAGCTCCGCGCTGGGGACGTCTGTAAGTTGGTCTGGCCAATGGAAGAGTCGCCCCGTCGCGGACGAGTCCGGGAGGGGAGGGGAGCGAGGGAGGCGGAGCTCATCGACAGGGCGCGCGGCAGAATCCTCGGGGTGAGCGCTTTACCGTATTGTCTTTACCGTATTGGCGGGAGCGACGTCGCGATGCTGCGCGCGCACAGACACGGCAGGCGGGTGCCGCCTCAACGCTGTGAATGAAAACCCCGAAACGTTTGCGCCGTCGGTGTGCGAAAGATTTCAGAGTGCGTTCGGTGGCGCGCGCTCGCGCCGCTTTAGGCCGAAGCCTTACGAGTTTCCTGATGTGGCTGCGGCCGAGGGCTCGAGAGATCCTTGGGTAGCGATCGGGAACGCGAACCCCGTGGATGCACACCCGTCAACCCCTTATCACAGGCAGATTCAGATCTTATTGGTCACCTCGTGCCCTTATATATATACAAAACAAGTTCCATCACAAGGGAGAAATACAAATAGATATATAAAAAACACACATTTGCCGGTATTGAAACGTCTGTACGCCGTATGGGCCCGGAAACTAGATTTCCCTGTACAAGAATACGGGTTATAACGTGTGGGTTGACAATCATGTATTTCTTATTTAATTTAATTCGATTGGAGCTCTTTTATTTGAAGGAGTTTCTCATATTTGCGTCTCGATGTGCGTCTCGCACGTGCGACGTTGATAGCAACAGTGGTTAGGGGCCGTCCATAAATGACGTCACGCACCTAAAGGGGGGGGGGGGGGTCAGACATTTGTAACGATGTGTGACGAGGGGGATGGGGTTTGGGTATTGTGACGTCACATCAAAATGTCTATATTTAAATAAATATAGACCACACGTTCTACTTATATTCTTGGTTATTTCGGTAAAGTCACGTAGAAGGGAAACAATAAAATAATAAAAATATATAAATATAAAACAACGCCACGTTCTACTGAATTAAATAGACTTTTTAATAAAGGTTTTCTCCTACAACATCAGAGTGCAGCGGCACATTAAACACGCACTACAATGACAAAAGTTTAAAGCGATTTGAAGCATTTTTTTAAAAAATTGTGGGGGGGAGGGGGGGGGGCAGAGCTTTGTGACGTCATATTTGAGGGGGGGGGTCTGACTTTTGTGATGCCGTGTGACGAGGGTGGGGGGTCAAAAATCGTCCAAAATCGCGTGACGTCATTTATGGACGGCCCCTAAATAGCAGAACGGCGCTCTTTAACATTGATTCCACGCCACGGCTAACATCAATCGTGAATGATATCTGATCTGGTTATGCAGCACCCGCCCGCCCTCTCTTACCACTCCTCTCATATAACCTTCCTTGACCAGCGTGGTGAAATGTTATTAAAATTATTATTATCTGGCTGCTATAAAGTTCCACATGATAAGCCACTTCGCTGAGCTATCATTTGTGGCCAGGTCGCCTCAGAGAAAGAAGCTAATAGTGGGCTTTAACTGGTGAAAAATATAAAGTTAATATTTTGTAGTTATTTGCTTACCTTTAGTATACTTTGCACGCCCGTCGTGTATTTGTATTGTAACTTTCTGACCCGCCCCTACTGGACGTCTGATAAAGAGCTTTGCAGCTCATCGGATTTATTCAGTACTAGCTGTACTGCCCGGCTTCACCCAGGACTTGGATCCACCACGCGCGGCCGCCTTTGTCTCCCCAGCGACGATGTTCACACTCCACAGCAGTTACTCGTTTGAGGCTGAGTCGACCTAGGGGAGGCCCAGGAGCGGTTGAAATAATCGTCACCGGTGGTGGCCGTGAGCAGGAATCGAACTCGGGTCGCCGGGTTCGTAGCGCGGCGTAGCGCTAACTGCTACACTACAATGCGTCACGCTTCCACATGCGCGGGTCACGTGACAGATTTGACGTCACAGCTCACTTGCCGTGCAAAAAATAAATTGATTATTGAGCCCCCCCCCTCCCAAAAAAATCGTGTATTTTTTTATTTTTGCCTGGTGTACCATCTGGAAAGTACCTACATGCCAAATTTCAAGTTTGTTGCATGTCGGGAAATACACTAAACATTTTGAACAGGCACACATATTCACAACTTTGCCTTTTATATATATGGAGATAAATAAATATTCATATGAAGTATGGTCAAAACAGCCCCCCCAAGACCAACAGCATGGGGAGACAATAATCAAGCAGTGGATTTTCCAAGGGCTTACTCGTGTTACACTTATTAAGATATATTTGAATTAAGGTCTATGTTTATTCAGATTTAGCATGCTGAATACTTAAAATATAGAGACAGTTATCATCAAGATAGAGACAGTTTTTTTTTAAAATCTTGTGTACTCAATAACGATTAACTTAATGAAATGCATCAATGTAAGATAATTGTCAATTATATACCATTACCCTGCTTTTATGTACTGGCCATCATTGCTTTGCGGTGGAAAATGTCCTTAAATTGCATGTTTTATGGATGTTGACACTTAAAACGCGGCTTTTCTCGTCTAAACTGCAGCGGCACATGCTGAAGATAATTAAGGAGTGTTAGGTATACTCGCTTGTAATTGGAAACATAACAATAACGTGCACTTTCCTCCGCGCGCTCATTGCTGAGCACCGACAAAGGTTTTCCAGGTTGCACAGTTTACACTGCTTTCAACTCGCCCACGACTCTTTCTGGTGTGGTGACCTTTAAAACAAATTGTTTTGAGTCTCAATTGCGCGGAGCATCTGCTGCCACTCCTTTTATTTAATTTCGAGAGCGCGGGCGTGGGCGGGCGGGGGGGGGTCAAGTGGCTTTTCATTAACGAGTCCATTTGTTTCAACGTTTTTTTTCTCTCCTGGAAACTCAAACATCCTTTGACCCTTTATTGCAGACTTGGTGCCACTCGCTGGGAATCATCCGATCCCGCTCTCTTTTTTTTACCTTTAAAGAGCAGAATGACAAACTGCCAGAGTCCAGGAACGGCCTCTTTTGGAGAGATAATGGGAAAATGTCACATCGCGTGAGGCTCAAGGTGTGCGCACGTGCCTGGGGTCTGCAAGGCGCACGTGAGCTTCATTGAGCACGGGGCCTGGAGGAATCGAGCCACTGCCGTTAATTTATGATGCGGCGGTGCCCTTTGCTTCCTTTTGCTGCCATCTGTTGACCTTCAGCAGTGAATTTAATTAACTTGAGTCTTTATATATATTGTTTTTCTCTTAGAAGGAAACTTGTCATGTAGGGGGGGGGGGGGGCCTCTAAATTATAAACATTCACCCTTCCAGCGCTGACTTGAGTGCCATGCGCCTTGTGCGACGATACAAATGTTGCCTTTTTAAAAGGCTTTTGACAGATTCTCATAACGAAGGCCAAGATAAAGAAAAATCAATCCACAAAAGTCCGTTCACATTTCACGTTGGTATTGATAACGCATTAATAACAATCGGCATGCATTCTTCCAGCCATTTGAAAAGTCCCCGTTGCGTTTCCCTTCCCGGTTAAATATAGGGGTGCACAATCTGATGTACGCTTTATTTATTATTATTTAACAAGATGCAGCATATGAGTAGTGAGTTTCCACGTCGGAAGGGGAAGCGTGCCATGGGCGTTGATTCGGACGCGTTCCCAGGCATTCGTGTAGCGTCAGATGCCAAGACGCAGTTGGTGATCGCCCATATGCTTTAGTCCGTAAACATTGGTCGCTGCGGCCGAGGGTACGACATTTCACTTCGCCCGGCGACAGAGCAATCTTTCCACCCGTCCCCAGCGAGCACAGGGCGTCATCGGGACGCGTTTGACATTTTTCTGACGAAAAATAAGAGCCAGACGTGCCAGCTGTGGGCAGGCCGCCGGTCCGTGCCTATTGTCCGTGAAATAATTTTTAAAAACAAAAAGGGGGCTAAAAAACAAAACAAATAGATATAGCTTTATTTTTGTACTATTATCATCAGCTCAGCTTTGTTTTCTTTACAACTTGTTTTGTTTTTATTGGTTCAAATTTACACTGCATCTCATTTGTGATCTTTAAATGTCACAAATGGCGATGTTTGCGTTTTCAGTTTTTTAATGATTTTGACACGTAATGGGTGGAGCAGTGGTTGGTACACTGCGCTATGAACCCGGTAAACTGAGTTCCATTGCCAGCCTTGGCTAACATCAGTGGCGAGTTGATATCTGAACAAGTCCTAGGACACCCACTCTACCTACCCAGATTAATGAGCGCGGTGATTTTTTTTTAAAACAATCCCCCATACAGCAATAAAGCAAATTTTTTTGCTTGTTTCATTCTGTACCCAAAGTTAACCGACTTTTGGCCTCGTGTGTTGAAACCTATCCCCTTTCGCACAGACGCTGAGGACCCTAAATCACCCAGGGGTTCAGTGTGCCTTTGTCTCTCTTGGGTTCGCACACTGACGCGCTTTCTACCTCCCGTGGTGTTCCGAACGTTTATGGTGCATTTTATACACAGCTCACTTGGGCTGTGTGTTCACACACATCGGTGGAGGTCATAGATTTATTACGGGCTGTTGCACTGAGCTGTGTGATAGCCTTTCCCCCTCAAAACGTCTTCTCTGTTTAGTCAATTTTTTTTTTACTGTACCAGAGACGCACAGCAGACCGCAACAGAAATTTTTGGGGTTTTTTTTTTGCATCTTAAAGGCTTCATCCTGTCTTGCCGATGTTTTTTTGTTCATTTGGTCTGCCGTTTGTTCTGCTGTTTGCGCAAAAGAATGAGCAGGGGCACGGGTCGAAGGATGTGACATTGCCACCAGACGATACCATTGAGATAGCAGGGCTTTGAAGACACGCTCTGCTTATAAACTTACCACCCCGCCAGGAACTGACTCAGAAGTGATTCGGATATGTTTGTGAGCAGCATTAGGAATTTACGGTGCGGCAAAATAAAATTCAAGCGTAGAATAAGCGTTATTTTCAGCGGCTTCAAAAATCCGTGACCGAAACTACTCGTCGTGACTCTTTGTTTTTGCAACTCCTTGTCATTCTACTGTTGGATGACGGCCTCCTCATGCCATGTCAGCAATGGAGGTTATTTTAAATCATTGAATCTCGATACTTTTTTTTAGGAAGTTTGCATTGGGATATTTGACCAATTCCATGAATGAGTTTTTGGTTTCATATGGGAGTAAACCAGAGAACTTGAAGAAAACCCAGCAGGCATATGAGGGGGTGATAGCACTGCCAACTGGACACCGAGCAGCCCTCCGGCTTTTTAAAGAGGGAGACCCAGGCTTGGTTCAGCTATGACCCAGTGTTGATGTTAGCCATGGACGTGAATCAAACTCGGGTTGGTTGGTTCGTAGCTCAGTGCGCTAACCACTCCACCACCGCTCCGTTCTAAAACGCTGACGCACAAATGGCTCGGGCTGTTTATCCTACTGCAGCTCACATCCTCCCGCCATGATTTATAGCCGCATGCTTTCGTTCTATTTCATGTGTGTTGTGGTGCAAGAGCTACGCGTGTGGTGCAAGAAAATACGCTCTCGGTATCTGCGTTCCCACCGTGGGAGCCTTGCGTGTGCTCTCTGCACTCTGCAACGTCGCTGCAGGTTCGTTGAACGTGGCGCTGCGTTTGGTTCGAACCTGTTCCCCATCCGACGAAGGGCGCACGTCGGCCTCGTAACCGAGCTGCACGACGCTCCTCATGCCGCATGTTTCTCTCCTGGAGGAAAAGAAACATACGTCTTGGCCATGTTGAGCATTTGCAGTTGCAGTGAGTGGGAAAACATGGGACATGTTTTGATTTTGAGGGGTTTTTTTTTTTGCCAATGTATCGTCTCGGGTTTTTCGATGGCAATGGGATTTCGTGCTCCCGAAGGAAAAACAAACGTTTGTTTTTGTTTCTCAACATAAAGAAAATGTACGCACACTTTTACACTTATCAATCACGAAACATATGGAGACAGTTTTATTTGCAACGCGTTGAAGTGAGGTAATTTTTTCTAAGCAAAAATGCTCCTTTTTTTGATGTGGCAAGTAGCGACATCAAAAAGAGTTACAAAATTCAAGATAAATTATGTTGCCGTTTGGTAGGCGGTTTCCAATGTTTGCCTTCAGGCAAAGATATTTTCTTTGCAATAATATCCTGAACTAATTGCTTAATGTGGCTTTCCCAAGTCGAATAATGTCAATTTGTAATGTCGTTTGTTGCACACAGGGGCTTTTTTTTGCAAAACAAAACAGCTATATTTTCTGAAGCCCTTTTGGTACAGGCCAGATTGACTGGCAGGTGTGCCAGTTTCTCTATTTCGGTGCAGAATAAAACGAAGACAAACGTGGACACACAAAGACAAAGTTCCCCCTATAGATGCCCAGGCTGTTGGGGAAAGTGCAGGGCAGCACAATGGTGTGGCTAACACTACGCCCGGGCCACCTTTGTCTAACCACTGACAATGTCCACACACCACGCCCGGTACTCATTTAATGCTGAACCAACCTAGGGGAGGCCCCACGACAGGTTCAGACACCACTTTGCCATTGATGCCAGTCACGGTCAGGATTAAAACCCAAGAAGCTGGTTTTGTAGTGTAGCGCGCTAATTACCGCACCGCCGCTTCCCACACGCACACACGCACTCACGCTCGTGCAGCGCAGGACGTCCATATGGCTTTTTTTTGGGTCGATGTAGGTGGCTACATGTTTTGTTTTTTAAAAGCCGAGCCTGCTCTTTGCGAGCAATTTCACAGGCCATTTCCCCATTCTTTGAGCGTCATACACACGGGAGTGGTGTTCAATCACTGCGTCCGTGTTTTATTTGGAACACGCCCTCGTGAAAATGTCTCGGCAGTCGGATTGAAGGATAAGGTTTGGATATGAACGCCTAATAATGTGTATGAGAGTAAAAGTCGACTTGGCACCAATGCTCATTGCAGGGGGAGACAAAGCCTCAATCTTTCAAGGTACAGCATTGAGCCTGATAAAAAATTTTCACAGTATATTCCCCCACCCCCCCCCCCGGCTTCATCTACTCCCTTACTTAAGTTTTTCCCTTACCTTCTCCTCCCCACATGAAAGTAAACAAACCTCGCTCATGGTCCCCACTCGGAGGGGCAGCAGCGATCTCAATCTCCTCCCTCCTCGAAATCCAGGAACACGGCGTTCACGACTTTTGTCCACGGAGTTCATGTATCTCTGCATATCCCTCTAACACCCCCTCCTCCCCACCCCACGCTGCGGTTCGTGCTCTGTACCGGGCTCTTACTGAAATATAAAAAAAACTTGTAAATGTACTCGCGCGCACCCTTGCCTGATGCAATACGCCGACACGAGAGCCACGGAGATTTCACCCGTGACCTGGGATTGATTGGATTCGATTCAGTTCAAGAATCCTTCGATTTTCATCCAATTAACCCCGCCCCCCAGCAACCTCATCTCGTATTTATTGTTTCATGTTTTTTTTTTGACGCCTTATTGTACCGTTTTGTTCACTCCCGTTAGTCTGGATGCAACGCTGGCTTATGTATGTGTGTGTGAGATTGACCGTGATGACGATGATCGTCGCTTATCGCCCATACACTTTTCTGAGACGCCAAATGAGCATACACGTCTTCATTTGCAAGAAATGCCTGCCTATAATAAACATACAGTGTGCTTTTGCACGCTCAGGGAACAAAAGTTTTGATTCTGGGCTGAAAAAAAAATCGTGTGGGTTTTTTAAAAATTTCTGAAAAGTGTGAAGAAAACAACCCCCCCAAAAAAACCCAGAAACCTGTGAAGTAAAAAATAATAACTTAAAACAGCGCGGGAAAATAAAATAAAAACCCGCATTAAATTTTCGATTCGACAAAAACCGTAAAAAAAATGTTGAAAAAAAAACCAGGCACCTTAATCGCAGAAAATATATGCGGGGGTGGGGGGGTGGGCAGGGAGGGGAAGGGCTCCTCAAGAACACCGAGTCCTGTGTTGCGCTCTAGGCTTCTGGTTTTCATTGCCGTGGGCGCGGTGTGGGCGCTCGGCTGGCAAACGCCGACGCTTGGCAGGCTCGGGTTCGCTGCCCCCGTTGTCAGTCTCTCGTCTCCTTCGGTCGACCCAGACGTATCTCGTCTGGGACTTGACATCGCTGCTGACGCCACAGTATCGTGTCTCATGCGAGTTATTAACTACCTCGCCTGGTACGCAGGAGGCCGTGGGTTCGATCCCGACCCTGACTCCGGCTGCTCTATATTTGGAGTTTGCGCGTCTCTCTTTCTCTCTCTCTCTCGCCCCGTGGTCGCGTGGATTTGTCTCCGGGTCGTCCGGGTTTTTCCCTCCACATTTAGAATCGACGTGCATTTAGAATATTTGACTGCTGCACATTTCCACGTGATAAGCCACTCACTGCGTTGAGCTATCATTTATGGCCAGGTCGCTTCTGAATAGAGGGCTGTATAGCTCAACGGGCCCTAACTGCTCAGCCCGTATATATTAATCCACTGGTGGATAAGTGCATCCCCACACCATGCAGACCGTGGTGGGGGGGGGCATTTGACCGGACTTCCCCATGCTGAATGGCGTAAGGAACATAGATATTGGAGCATAGTGCAGTACAACTGATTTTGCTGCACTGCCCTCTGCTGACAATATACCACTGCAGCACCACATTTATGCTTCGTGGTCACCCATCAAAGCACTACCCAGGCTCAATTCTACTTAGCTTACGAGGTGAAGAGGATGCTGACGATGATGAATAATAATGACGATCGTTGCAGCAGCACACGATGGGCGAGGAGGGCGAGGTGATCAGGCTGCACCTGTCATCTGACCCGGGGAGCACTTACTACGCCCTCGTGACCTGGAAGAAGAACAGCCATCAGGGATTGAACCTGAGCCTCACCGACTGCCGGACGGCCTGGACAGGGGAAGGTACGGCCTCACCGCGTGGTGTTTGCGCATCTCCTCCGTCGCCCCCCTGACGCAGCGATCGATCGCCCCGCGGACGCAACTATGCCACCCGTCACGATTGCGTGCCGACAAAATCCGCCGATTTAAAATCCGACCCAGCTTGTATGGGAACATCCTCTTTGTCTTTTAGCTAAGCTCGCCCGTGTGGTTTGCAAGCTCATGTCCCCATGGCGAGTACGGTCCACGTATAGGAAGTGTCTCAACCATGCCACCTGTGTATGTTTCAGGACTACGGTAACGTTTCCCGTACTGACTAGTTCATCAAGCAACAAGCTGAGAAGCAAGCCTGTAAAGAGGGCCTCTCGCTTAGACATTGCATTTAACTGCAGAAAGAAATGAGCGCCTAGAAAAACCACACTGACACACCCGGAAACATCCGGATCACAAACAGATAGCTTATTAATGTGCTCATTACCCACAACAACATCGGAGAAGACCATCTCGTTATAACTACAATAACCTCGGCCTCCCTTACTGCAGAGACAGCAGTGCAGTGGGGCTCTCATTCGTGCCATTCGACAATTGACTCGGGTATCGAACCGTCGGAAGTGATCGAGTGCCCGTCGGCGGCGGTGCGCGCGCGTCTTCCGTACACCACCCGTAGTTACCGGCTCCACACTGGAGGAGGAGGCGTCGGAAGCCGGGCTGTCGCTCGTTGACTACGTCGCCGAGCTCCGGGCTGCCCTCCCGGGCCACTGCTGGGACTCGCCCTCCAACGGAGACGCCTTCCGCTACGACCTGAAGCCCCCCGCCAGCCCCGGGCACGCTCGCCGCAGGTGTTTCTCCATCTGCAAAGTGCACAGCGACGTCACGGTGAGGCTCGCGCTTCGAGCGTTGCGATCTTTTGGGGAATGTTCATGATTATTTTTGTTGGCGGTGGGGGTGGGGGGGAAGCTTCTCAGTTGGCACCTCGGAAACTCTGAGCGTAATTCCCCACGCTGCTGGTGTAACCAAGTAGATAATTAATTTTGTTTTGCTAGATTTTGAGCCTGCATTTCGGATGCTTTAAAGGTGCGGGTAATCGTTTGAGTTATCGGCTACCTGGTTTTTACTTGGGCATATTACGTCAGCCAATTTAGGACTTCAATCTCAGAAAATATTTTCTCTGCCTTTCTTGCTGGTTGACAAATAGTCGTAAAATACCACGCGTGTTGGGAAGTTCCCGATCACACGTACTTATTCATCCAAGATGGGATGGTGGTGATGGTGCACGCGGATTCGTCTACGCGCCATTGATTTGTTCCATAACTAAGCCAAATCTTCTAAACATATAGTTAATCGTCTTCAAAGTGACACCCCAGACGTATTGCTGGAATGTTTTTTTTTTCATATATTTACAGAAAGTCCTCGCTTAACGCAGGAGATGCGTTCCTGAAAGTGGCACAAATAATGTGACGGCAACGTTTGGCGAGATGGCGGGACAAATAACTGAGTGTACGCCGCCGCGGTTCTGTGTCATTCATCGTGCTGTACGACTCCGCTCAGCCATGCAGCTCAAGAAAGTGGTTCGCCGTCGACCGCTCGGTAACCGCATTATTACGGTGCGCGTTCCACTTTTTGCGAAAACTGTTCCCGAATGGAAGAACCGCGCTCGAGTGAAAGAGCATTGTAGTGTAAACACCGCTACGCGTTCAGCGAGGACTTACCGTACACTTCTCTGTGCCGGTGGGAGTTGGTGCGCGGCCGACAGTGGCAGCTCCTGGCGCTTGATGAATGGCCTCTCAAAATGCCAACACGCAAGCCCCCCTAAGCCCCTCTTTGTTTCAGGCGCCAGGCTTCACATGCTCTGTGTTGACTATCGGTAAACTTTTGGCACGGTAGGAAGGTGCGTTTTTTTAAAAGTTGATCACTATACATTTTTCTCACAGGGTCTTTGTTATGACAGACAGTTGTTTAAACTTGTCCACTGCTCTTCCTTTTCGATAATTGTTTTGTTGTCCTAACCAATCGTCTTGGGAGCAGTGGCTATTATCACTGGCTAGCGACATCTGAACCCTGTACATCAACTCGCACTGACCACGTGTCACAAAACAGGTGATGTACGCACCATAGGTAGGCGTCTATAGAACGAGACCTGCTGGTCTTTTTTTGAGTTGCGTCTACTGTTAGAATCATAATCTTTATTTAAACTGGAGGATTCCGATGAGCTATAAAGCTCTCTTTCACAGATGTCCAGCAGGGGTAGGTCAGAATGTTCCAACAACAAACAATACAAATTCACGATAGGAGTGCAAACTATAGGTAATGTAAACAAATCACTTAAAGAGTGTATTTAAATAAAACGAAACTCTTTTTTACCTTAGCATGAAACGCCCACTGAGCTGTTAGCTTATTTTTGCAGAAGCGACCTGGCCACAAATGATAGCTCAAGGAAGTGGCTTATCATGTGGAAATTTATAGCGGCAAAATAATCTTAAATAATCGAAGCGCATGTTGATTCCAAATGCGGAGTGAAAAACCGGAGGACCCGGAGAAAAAAAATCCACACGACCACGAGGAGAGAGACAAGCAAACTCCAAATATCCAAGCGTCAGGGTCGGGATCGATCCCCCAACCTCAGTGAAGTGAAATGTCGCAACGCATCTCTACGTTACGCTCGGGTCAGCCGATGCCACCCTACACGTACAGACGAGACAGCGGGTGGCTTAGATTAGGGTTGCTTTCCTCTGGCATTGCTTCCCACTGCTCCAGTAGCAGCAGCTCACGAGTCGAACATCAAAGCGTTCCCTCTTTCAAATTAGCGGTGGGCGGTGTTCATCTTCGTTGGTGGTCCTCGTCCAGTGGTGTTAAATTCCACATCCCTATGGCAGGGTCCAGTCTCTTCATAGCAGAGCTACTGACTTCCCACCAACTACTGCTGCCTCAGCAGGTGGTACTTACTTTACCCACCACAGAGGGATGACGATGATGATGAACAGTTCTATGAAATCTCCCTACTGTTTTCTCACACGGGGTAATGCGCTCCCCCCCCCCCCCCCCTGCGATACTTTCGAAATTTCCAATATAATGGTAATATACGCAGCGGCGTATCGATCGACGACGACGGCGGAGACGAACATCATGTAGATGACGGTGACACCCGATGACAAACTTGCACACCCTCGCGATCACGAACGCAGGTTTTCTTACCGCGATGGCGACCGCTCGGCACGTAAAACACTGATGGCGTGGCTCGCTATCGCCGAAGAATCGGGAGGAGTAGGAGAAGACACAGGTGCGACGGGAGGGGTGTCCCCCGAGCCTTATTCACATATTTGTTTCGGCCAGGACTGGGCTGGCCCGGCAGGAAATTTGCGTCCAGGATTGTTTGTTTGCTTTGGTATGTGCAGACAGAAAAGAGCCTCAAAAACAGACGGGTTAAGAAAAAGGGGGGGGGGGGGGGAACAAAAAAAAACCCACTGCTACAGGCAAGTGTCTGTCCTCTCGTATTTACCCCGCTTCCGTTGTATTTGCAGTCAATACACAATGGCCGTGTTGATGGTGTGCATTCTGCGGGTTTGTGTGGCCGGGAGCCGACAGTCCCCTCCCGTCCACGCCCGCCCGACGACGCCGCCCAACCCCAATGGGCCCTCGCTGTCCAAACAGCTGTCTGTGGTGGTGGTCGTGGTGGTGGCTGGCCAGCGATGGGCGGCAATCGCCTGTGGGGGGGAGGACACCTGAGCAAATATCGGGTCATTGTGTGTCACCGTGCGAGCGATTGCCAAGGGATCCCCACTGAGAAACACAACAACAGAAATACTTTGGCGGAGGAGTTGAGCACTAATTTTGGGGCGGTGGTGTAAATTTGCCTGGCCCGTTTCCAAGGGACTGGCCGGACCGTAAAACTGTCGCGACTGTATTTGTGACGCGGCCTTAATGATGGACCACGAAGCACACGGCATAGTCTGAAACTGCCGCTCAAACAATGCCTGCCCTTGTTTGATTTTTTTGCATTAATTAATGATTTCCTTTACATTTTTTTTACGTTGCGAGAATTTTCGCACAATTGCTTACACACAACAACTGCGTGTGTTGTTTAAAAAAAAAAATCGCCAGCCAAGCAGGTTTTTTTTTCTTTTCTAGTGGTCCTGAGCCGCAACTTGCAGCCAAGTTTTCAGCCACCTTTACAGCTGTGGCCCACACTGAATTCATCTGGGTGGCTCAGTGCTGAGACATTCCATGTTTTAGACTTAAATTTTGGCTTTCGTCTGGGCTGTCATTTTCCAGCCAAATATTTTAGGTGTTTACGTTGTCCGTCGTGCTTGTGCGCGCGCACGCGTGTGTATGTATGCGCGCGCGTGTGCACAACAGAGTGTGTTTCTCTTGAGAAAAAAACAAACTAAACAAATGTAATTCATCAGAATTGTCACTGGAAGAATTAACCAGACCTGGGAATGCAGGTCGAGGTCGGCGTGCTCGCAGATATTTGTTTAGTGGTCGTTGTTATTGCCCTCCATAGTTTCAAACATTAGTTTGAAATATATTTTGTGAATTTGTATCTCTGCTGCTGAATGGAAGATGTGAAAGTGGTTAGGAGATGGACAGCAGCAGTTGCTTACAGACTGTGATGGGCACATGTCATGGCTTAAACCGGGTTCTCAAGTGCAGGGAACTCATTGTGTGAGTCCAGTCACCATGATTGCGCAATAAAATTAAACCGGTAAATTATATTTTCCACTTAGTTTGGCATATTCCAATCTCTGAGAGTTAAACATTGCACCTTTTTTTATCAACTTGAAGCCCTTGCAACATAGTGCAATCGCCCCGTGTTAAAGAGTGGTCTTCGGAAGGTGATGTCATAGAACTACTTCTGAGATCCCTTCGAGTGACCTCTTATCCACACAAGGGATGCCGCACTTTCCCACGCACCCTGCGATGCAGATGTTTGTTGCTTGTTGGTCAAACAAAAACCACGTCCCTTTTTTTTTAATTCTCATGGCTGGAATATTTGCCAAATTTAGCAACAACAAGAAAATCTCGGACGTAAATACGATGGGCGGTTTTGGTCTAGTCGTCGGTGATTAGTCTGCGATGATTCGTTAATTCCGCTCTAGCAATCAGTTTGATCGTGGGCGCAACTGAAACCCAGCTGAGAACGCAGGATGATCGCGGCGCTGGCTCAGCGCTCGGTTCGCCCGAGCCACCTGGCCACCTTCTACGAGCTGAAACCCAGCTGAGAACGCAGGATGATCGCGGCGCTGGCTCAGCGCTCGGTTCGCCCGAGCCACCTGGCCACCTTCTACGAGCGCTTTTGTTTTCTCTAGGTCACTCTTTCTTGAACGGAGCGATGATGAGAGAGAGAGAGAGAGATGCAACGGATGCAACGATCGAAATCGCGCTCTCCTCGCCGTGCTTTGTCCCCGAGGACTGCTTGAAGCTCGCCAGAGTCAGACAGAGACCCCACATGCCGCCTTGCAAAATCTTGGCCCACGCTTGGATTTTAATTGCCATCTTTAGACTCTAGGCTTGTGTCATGTGGCTGCTGGCACAGAGTAATATTGTGGGCTTGATTTTTGCGCGTGTGTGTACGTGCCTGCTAAAGTTAACTTTAGTCTTGCTTTCTTTGGATGTGGACTTGTGTCTTTGTTTGTCTGCCTTTGTACGATGACATCTGGTTGCTGATCCCTGCATTGCAGTCTTGTCAGTGTCTTTGTTTCGTCTGCTTGCATCATTAATCCTTTGAAGATCCTCGCTCCGGTATAACCAAATCGTAAATCAAACTCTGCGGAGGCAAGGAGCATTGAACTCCGGTTGAAACTACGTGGGGTCCAAATCCTTACATCCCTCAGGCGCATGCTTTGCAGGGCTGTGAAACGATATCCGTTAAGCTGGTAACCGTTTTCAGAATCGAGGGCACCGATTGACACGCACAGAACGTACAAACGGCACGACGGCCCAAGCCACTGCATTCGGCGTTTCTCAGTTAAACGGAAAAGGTGCAGCCCTGCAATTACTTGCTCGCCTACTTGCACCACTGCCGGTTTTTTTTTTTACTTGGTTAATAAATAAATACAACATCAGACATTTCAAGAGCCGCCAATGCAACGTGAACACGAGACGGTGGTCCGAAATAAATGACGTCACAGGGCAGGAGTCCTTAAAGAGCCGCATGCTGCTCCACACCCGCAGGTTGCCGAGCCCCGGTCATTAACCAACGGTTCACAAGCTGTGGAGTCTAAGGCTGTGGGACATGAGCCCTGGAACTATTACAGATGTGTTGGTTTTTTTTTCTTTTACAGTTCACCTAGTTTTTACTGCCCATCGCTCAGCTAATATAGATGATATTCGTGACTCATCAACATAGCTGGCTGCTGACTGGATCTGCTGATTGCCGCCATTATTTACTCAAGTAATACAACATGTGACATCAGGAACAGTAAATTGGCGGCGGTGGTGTACAAAATCATGTTTGAGGATTCGCAGAGTTTCCGTGAGTCGAGAAAGTTTGGGAACCAATAGTCTATGCTGAAATACATGCATGCACATCTATACGCGCGCGTTTGTGTGTGTGTGCGCGTGTATACTCCGTGTGTATATATGTCTGAGCATTTCACAAAATGTAGGTACTCACGCTGAAACTTTGTAAATTGCAGAGCTGATTCGTAGGCTCAGGCTGTTTACCGAATTTACATTGCCACACCGCGGCCATACAAATAAAGTCACAGATTAGAAAACTGTTCTCAGAGTGATGATATGTCATCTATATTACGCCATTGGTATTCATGTTTTTACGGCAAGGCCTCGCTTAATATCCTGTATGACGATGTTTGGCCAGTTCCATTTTAAGGAGCGTTTTACAAGAAGGAGCGTTTTACAAGGTTATGACACGCCGAAGTCCGGAGAGATGGGATCACGATCCCATTTCCTCCACTGCCATCGCTTGGCCACCTTCGCCGGCCTGTGAGAATTGTGTACACGCTGCTGCTTGGTGCAGCAGCGTGTACCTAATCTGGCCCAGTGGCACAGTGACCACAGTACATGGCTCGCAGTTGGGAAGTTGCGAGTTCACATCCCACTCTGGGGTTTTTACTCGGTTATTAACCGGTAAATGCTGGCCATTGTGTTCCATTGTCTTTACCCCAACTCCACGTTTTGAAAATTAACCATAATTACTGTGCAGGTGTTTTGAAAACTCTAGAGAACAAAATTATATCAGTTGCTCTTGCATGGTTATGTAAAGGGCATTGAAATGATGCAATTGATTTGGTCATTGTTTGCTGACAAAGCTGGATGTGAATTCTGTTTTTTTATTTCTTGTACCGTATGAATGTTTTGTTTATCGTGGCTTTTGTTTAGATTGATCGTAGTGTTGTAACGGAGAAGTTTAGTGTGTTTGCTTCACGTGTGCCTTACAGCTTTCATGTTAACGCGTGTATTTAAAAATGCGCTACGGAAACAAACTTCAATCGACTGATTTTTGTTTGTGCTCACTCACAAACACACACACACGTGCATGCACGCACGTGTGTGTGTGTGTTTGTGAGTGAGCTATATGAGGAGCGGTAGTGTCGCGGTTAGCGTGGTGCGCTACGAATCCGGTGGCCCGAGTTCAATTCTCACTCACGGCCAACACCAGTGACGATTATCTGAATCAGTCATGGGCCTCCCCTAGGTCTACTCAGCCTCAAATGAGTACCTGGTGTGATGTGTAAACATCACCACTGGGGAGACATAAACGGCGGGGCGTGGTGCTGGCCACCCACCCCCTCGTGTGCCGTACCGGCTTTCATAGGTGCTCGGTAACAGCACTTGCCCCAACAGTCTGTTCAGGCTATATGGGGATATTTGTCATTATGTCTTTGCTATATAGGGAGATCACACACATACATTTGTTAGGAGGCACGAATGGGCACAGCACAGGCTTGTGGAAGGATGGGTAGTTGTGGTACAGGAGGACCTAGAGCTGAGTGGACTTGGCAACCGCTGACATCAGTGCTGTAAAAATTAGCCATGGTGGAAAAGGCCCGTGAAAGATTCTACTGGGTGGCTGTTTAGCAGATGCCCTCCAGCAATAATACGAGGCAGAAGAACGGGCGCTCGGAACAATAAGCAGAGCATCAGGCGGCAGATGACCCCTTGACCTGTTCTTGCCAGCAAGCCTTCGACCCTCCACGTGGTCTCAACATGTATCTAGCCCGGTGCGAGCACGTGTGTCAGCGATGTCGCTGCTGGCTTATCGGTGAGCGACTGTCTGACGCCGCAGTGGCGAGATGTTAACTACCTCGCCTGGTATACAGGAGGTCGTGGGTTCGATCCCGACCCTGACGCCTGCTGCTGCTGTATATTTGGAGTTTGCATGTCTCTTTCCCCATGGGCGTGTGGATTTTTCTTTGGCTCCTCCGGTTTTTCCCTCCACATTCAAAATTAACACGCGCTTAGAGCATTTGGCTGCTACAAATTTGCACGGGATAAGCCACTTCGTTGGGCTGTCATTTGTGGCCAGGTCGCTTGTGATAAAGAGCTGCGTAGCTCAGTGGGCGTCACCTGGTGAAATAATAAAGAAGTGTTTAGTTTATATGATGCGGTAACGAAAGACTTTCGAGGACGAAGCGCTTGTCGGATGGCTGCTACGCGAACTCCGCACGCGACAAAACGCGCGGTTTCCCCCCCCGCCCTCACCGCTGGCTCGTCCGTCTCCCACCCCCCCCCCCCCCCCCTTCTCAATCGCACCGCGGCGCCGGCAGTTCGAGCTGGGCACGGTGGAGCTGCGCGAGCTGGACGAGCCGGTGACGTTGGTGCGGCAGCTGCTGGACCGCGGGCTGGAGGGCGGGCGCCGCCTGCGACAGCGCAACGACGAGCTGCACCGCGACAACGAGCGGCTCGCCGCGGAGCGCGGCCGTGCCGTCGAAGAGTACGCGCCAACTCTCGAAACGCCTCCTCCCCCCCCGCCCCCACACTCCCCCCCCCCCCCCACACTCCCCCCCCCCCCCCACACGCGCGTGCACGCGAGTGACTTCCCCTGCTGCTCGTATCTTGTTTACGCGTGCCCTGAGCCAAATTTAGCGGAATTCCACGTTCCTTTGACGGGGCTGGGTGTATCCATAGGGTTGGCCGCTGTTGATTTTGCCACAAAGTGGTGCCCATTTTATCGACACCCACAGCCAGGGTTTGAAATTCTGACCATGGGCCACTCGCTCATATGCTGAGCCACTGTTATCAACTCTTACTTGCACAAACGTTCACCCCGTTTTTGTAAAAGGTAGATAAGCAAAAGTTTATTTGAATCAATGCATACAATCATTATTCATGAATTAAATCCTGCATGATGCACCCTTTCCTATCTCTCATCTCACTCAACTCTCCACTCCGCACTCTCCTACCGCTCACCTCTCATCCCACTCTACTCACCTTCTTGCACCCTATCTGCTCCCGCAACCGAGGCGTTCTGTCAAAATCTCGCTCATTGGCAACTTGCTCATTGCCTTAGTGGCAAGTTGCTCGCTGCCTCCTTCCAATCCCCTGCAACTTATTGCCCCGTCGGTGGGTCTCTCATGCACACCGTATCACTGTGTGATCCACAAACTTCAACTCCCAAGTTGCTGCATTGTGAGCGTTGCAACCACGGCGATTTCACCCAGCGCTAAAATAAATAAAATATCCCCAAAAAAGGTTCTGTGATAAGTTCCTCATGTTCTGCACAATGTGCATTTAATAAAATCCCGGTTAACTTTGGAGAGCGAAAAAAATAATGCATATACATTGAAACTTTCCAAGCATAAATTTCACACAGGTGTCTCGTTGTAATATCACAGACGCTGAGCGAATCGTACGATGGAAATTTAATTTGGAGCCCTCTTTCGCTCATATTACCAATTCCCTAAAAAGAATAATTTTGGGACAGGGCCCAGGGTTAGGGTGGCGTTTCTACGGTCCAGCCGCTGGCAGCTCGTGACTGTGTTCCCCCCCCGCCGCCGCACATCATCCATCATCGTTACCGCTGACCGACCAGCCTGGGAGGTTGGAATGACAGCGAAGGCTGAAGGCTGCTGGAATCCCTGCGTGTCACCCCACCAGGCGCACTCCCTATTCATTACGCACCACCTGCGTTGCTGTACAAGGGCCCCGTTTGACGGAACGTCCGAACGAGGGGATGTCGAATTTTGAGCGTTGGTTTTATGTGTTTTTGTATTTTTTTTGCGCAATGTGCGGTGACGTCCGCCGTCGCACAAACGCTCGCGTACGCACGTGAGCGTTTGTGTGTGTCTTTGTGGGGAGCGGCAGTGGAGCGGTTAGCGCACCACGCTACGAAACCGGCGACCCAAGCTCAGCTCCCGCTCACGCCCAACACCAGTGACGGCTATCTGAACCGGTCATGGTCCTCCCCTAGGTCGACTCAGCCTTAAATGAGTAGTTGGTGCGATGTGTAAATGTCGCCACTTGGGAGACAAAGGCGGGCGGGCGGGCGGGCAGGCGGGCATTGCGCTGGCCACCCACCCCCTCGTGTGCCGTGCCGTCCTTCGTAGGTGCTACTCGCTCACGGCACTTGCCCCAGCAGTCTGCCAATGGTCTTTGCCTTTGTGCGCCTCTGTGCGCCTTTGTGCGTCTTTGTGTTCCGTCCCGTCCAGGCTGAGGGCGTCCGTGAACAACAAGGAGGAGCTGGAGAGGGACCTGTACGGAAAGTTCATCCGCGTCCTCAACGAGAAGAAAGAGAAGATTCGGCGGCTCAAGGATGCCCTGGATAAGCACGCCCCGGCCCAAGTGCCCCCTCCCTGCGCCAGGTCAGTGTCCAGCCAGGGCTCGCCCCCCCGGGGCACAGGTGATTCAGTTTTGTAGGTCAATAAGAAGGAGTATAGTCTGGTCAGGTGATGGGTCAAACCAGGTCAGGGCTTAGCTGGCTGGGTTCCTTCAGCGCAGGTAAAACCTCCTGTGATGGTGCATGAGTTTAGTGTCCGAAGATCATATTTTCGCACCTGTTGTAAGGAAGGTAGTAATTGAGAGAAGAACCAAATGTTTTCGTGTTTAGAATTGCTTGCAAGTAACTTTGCAGGCCCTAATATCTCTTCTATTGACATCTGACTTTCTAACACTAAAGTTTCATGTGCGTGTCAAAATAGTAAATGTTGAGTGTGTAATCCACGGTTAGCAAAACTCATTAACAGGACCGGACTGCTGATGAGAATCAGAACTCTAAACCAGTCCAGACATTTCCTGCTGAAACTAAGTGCAAATTAGAATTACGATTTGGATTAATATAGTTTCTCAGGACCCAAATCGGATTGTCACTCAATATATATATTTTTACAATATTCCTTCATCAACGATGTTACAAATATTTCCCTTGCAGAATAGACAGCGAATCTCAGTGGGTTGTTGTCACCTGGTTAAATAAAGAACACTCGAACCAATCAATAGGTAAGGGTCCGTTCACTGCGCCACACACGTTTTTAGTTCAACATCCTTTGGGCCTTGTGGTGGATCAGTCTTTGCCAAGAACGCTTTTTTCAAGCAGGGAAAAATTCTGGATCAATTTGAACTCTTGCAACCTCATCAGCAGAATCCAGAATATAAGGCGCCGCAGGGCAGTGGCCTAAATTGTTGCTTTCTTTAAAGTTACTTTTTTTGCGTGAGGATGCATGCTCAACCCTCGTCTCTCTGTCAATGTATTACCCAAAATCCACGGACACAGCTCAGCTAATGGGTTACACCGGGTCAGTCAAGCAGAGGTGACTTGGTAATCATTGCAAGCCGGTCGGGTTTGGTGAGGTCGCGAGCTGCCCGGGGAATGGCCGTGAGAACCGCTGGCTTATCGCTTCCGTCCCTGCCGTCGCGTCGCGGGCCCCTCTCGTCCGCGAGCGACGGGCGATGCGGTAATCCCGCGGCACGCGCCGACGATGGCGGCGGCGTCCGTCCCACCGGCGCTTCCGTTGCCGTTTTCGTCGAAGCGCCGGCGGCGTTGTTGGTGGCAGCTCTGCGGCCCGGGCGGCGGAGGGCACGGACGAGTCTGACTACGGGGGCAGCACCGACGAAGAGAGGCAGGCTCCGGCTACCGGAACCGCCCCCCCGAAGGCGGCGAAAGCCCCGAGCACCGCGGCCGTAACCCGGCAGGAGGGCGAGCGAAGAGGTGAGTGCTGCTGACAGATGCTCGCTGGTTCCCACGCTTTCTCGCAGCCCCCCCCCGCACCCCCCCTCCACTTCCCGCTCTACCAAACCTGCGTGCACTTAACGCTCACTCACACTCGAGGCTCTGTAATAAGTGACCAGGCTGTTTGTTCACAGTGTGCGGGTGGGGGGTAGCGGGGGGGGGGGCAGTGCAGTACATGATGAGCAGATGTTGGATTGCTGGGGACTGGCAAGTCTAATAGAGGGAGTTTGCTATTTGATTGGGAGAGTCAATAATTGAGGTGGTCTAGTGGCCGGGGGAGTTTATAATGGCCGCATCAGAGCAACCAGTTCGCTCTGCACAGATCCCGGGTTCAGTTCGGAGGCTGAGCTGCGCCTGATTGAACTTGATTTCTCAAGCATATCGGGTTGATGGTCTGTAAGCCTGGGCAATGACTGCACGGATAAGTCTTATTACATATGATTTGTAAATTAAGCCAGCATAATCCAGCTCTGAGAATATATATATTTATTTTTCGTTTAATCTACATGCGGCAAGCACTCTGCTGGGCATATACAAGGTGATGCCCTGAGAGAGAATAACAAGGGCATATCGAAGTGAATTAAGATGCAGTTAACCGATGTCGCGATGCGGTTGCATTCTCGCTGTGCAAACGTTGGATGGAAATAGTTCTCTCTCGTGCCACGACGTCGGATTGCGTGACTGCAATATATTTCGGGGAGAGAGCGCATTTTTCTAAGGAGTCCGTAATTGACGCTGCCTTCACGTGCCGTCGCATTTGGCAGCCGTGCACGCGATGGCGCGACTTGCTGCGTGCGTCTTAATCTGCCCCAAAACTGGGGCCAACAGAGCCCCTCTTCATCACGTGCCGGGGACACGTGGAGATCACGGACTAAAGGGAGACCTTGACCTTGTCAGGGGGCGGCGGGGAGCTTGAGGCTGCGCGGTTCGAACAAAAGAAGAATGCGGCGGCGGAGGCGGCGGAGGCGGCGGAGGCGGCGGAGGCGGCGGAGGCGGCGGAGGCGGCTGCGTTACCGACGACGTGAACTTGCCGTGAAATAGAAAGTCGGTCCACGTTTCCGTCCGCCGCCCGCGGGGGATGCGTGACGGCCGGCCGGCTGGTGCGTCTCGTCCCGTCGCCTTCCCGCGGTTCAAAAGTGCGCGCACAGGCGGCCCTTTGTTCGTTCGCTTCGGGGGCGGGACGGGTCCTAGTCCGCTGTCGTGACCCACAGTGAGCTGGTGGAGGTGGGGGGGGTCACGGCTGACAGACTTTTCGGGCGTGAGGGAGTCAGGCAGGGTCAGAGGGAGGTCGACCGGCGGGGGCGTGCGGCATTATTCTTTGGGCGGCAGGAGATTCTTGGAAGGAGAGCGCTATTGAGTGTCTGGGAGGAAGCTATTCGGGAGGTCACGGTGGGAAAAAATGGACAGAGATCAGAGGAGCGATCGGGACACGACGAGGAGAAGCGGCTGATGTGCCCTGAGCCGCGGTTCGGCTTTGTTGAGATTAATCCTCACGCGTCTCAAAAGGAGCCGTCAATTTTTTTTCTGTCGAGCTCTCCTGCAGAAGAACAAAGCGGCGACCTGAATCGTGCGAAGGTCAGCGACGTAAGCAGGGCATTGGAAGAAAAAATCTCCTCCGGCAGGATGATCATTGCACATCGAACGCAGCAGCGCTTGCTGCTCAGCCCCTGTGGCGGCTAGCGTTCCTTGTTCTCCGACACGAGCGCGTGATAATTGTGGCATTGTAAGCGAGCCCGGATTAAGGTTAAAATGAGGACGGCGTCAGAATGAATTCCCACTCGCATTGTCCTGTTTTCTGTCAGCTCTCAACTATCGCCGTTTTTATTTTTTTTCCTTCCCCCCCCCCCTCCCATGTAGCGGTCTGTCTGAATAGGGTTTCCTTCCAACTAGCGTGGGGGTGAGTCAAACATTTGGATTAAAACAATTTCTTCTGTTTCCTTCTGTTATTTAAATAATTTTTGTTCTTTTAGCCACCCATTTTCCCGTGGCTATAACACAGAGCTGTGTTTGCTGCATTACCACATTCTTGGATGCCCCTCTTGGGAACCATTCGGTTATTTTCTGTTCCATTGTATCCAGGTTCAAGGTGTATGTATAGACACACACACGCACGTGCTCATGTTTGTTTTGTTGGGATTATGAGTTCAATTACCCATCTGGGGTGGGGTCTGTGGCCCTCCGCTGCTGGAACAATGCTCGCACGGACAACACATCGCCCTCAGACGGGGTGCAGCTGGCTTCCTTCGCCGGAGCTGCGTGACCCCAATTTTTCCCCATCGCGCGTGTTCTGTGACGACGGGGGGGTGTCACGTAAGCGCTACGAAAAACAACGCCAAGCAAAATCGCACGGACACCGCCCGTGTCTCCTCCACCACTGCTTGTCGCAGCCTATGAAAATCGTCCACAGCAATTTATTTGAACGTGAAAGTTAGCATTTTCGTCTTTTTTTTGTTTTCCATCTACATATCTGTCTATCGCTGGCTCTGTCTCACTCGCCTCGATGTATGAAGTTGCGCCAACCGCGGCGTTTGCAGACTTTTACGGACGTATTTGCTCCTTTTCCGCGTTTTTATGCCGCTAATTTATACCACAGAAAATATACCGCAAACGGCATTGCCAGTCGTCCCTGCTGCCGAATTCGTCCACCGCGTTGCAGTGCGGCGTGGGGCGACGGGCCCACCTGTGTTTTGCGTTCACACGCGAAAAGGGGGAGGAGGGGTGAGGGGGGGGAAGTGTCTAAAAAAAATATCCCACAACCGCCCTGGAGGTTTGTACATCCCAGCGGACGTCAGCAAAAAAAAATATTCCGCATGTTTTTTTTAACTCACTTGCTCACGGCGAGGAGGGGAAAGAGGAACGTTCTCCCCGGGGATTAATTAAACAAATAAAAAGTACGTTTCTAATTGTTTACCTAGATATTTTTTTTTTTCAGACTGACAAATGGGAACGTCGGTCGGGGAGCCTTTGCCACTGTTCACGCTTGGCCCGCGGTGCACTAACGTTTCCGCGGAGAGCGAAAACAACAATGATTCCGCAGACGGGTCAGGATGCGCTTGCCAAGGCTGGTGCGCCCAACAATAGACGTTGCCGCAAATGATTTGATGAACTCTTCTCTCACTTGGCTATCCCGAGGTCGTTGCCGGCGACACTTCGGCCTAATTTACTGCCGTGTTGTTTCTCTGTTTTTATTTACGGAATCGCCCCTGGCAACCGATTTTCCCCTCTCTGTTGTTTTATTATTATTAGTTGCCTTTTAAATGATCGTAGTATAAATATTTTTTGTTACATCTGGTATTTAATTACTGGAAATATCCGGGGGGGGGGGGGGGGTCGAAGGTCAGAGAGAAGAGGTTCCGCTCGCCGGCAGCCGGCGGGGTCCCACGTAAGCCATCGCGGTGCGGGTGAAACTACCCCCCCACCCCCCCACCCCCCACTCGCGTCTGGGATATCCTCCCGCTTCTCTGTCTTCCTGCTCCTTACACCCCCCTTCATTCACCCCCGACCCAGCCCCCTGCCCCCCCACCCCCACCCCCGTGCCGTGCTGTGAAAATTAACGCCGCAGTGCAGAAATACAACAATAGTCCCTTTTCTTCCACAGATTCCCCGCGGCTCGTTCAAGGCTCATTTTCCGCACCCTCGCTTCTTCTCCGGAGGGACGTTTTTCACTGGGGGGGGGGGGGGGGGGGGGGGGGGAGGGGGGGAGATTGATTTATGATTTATTTTTGTGTGTCTTTTTGCATTACCCGCAAGAACTGTCCCCAAGTGAAGTGTCCGTAAATGTTAGTTGGCATGCGATGGCGTGTCTATCGGAATCGTTTGTTATTACCCTCGCGATGCGTGGATTGAATCGCCCGTGCGTGAGAGTCGATCATTTGATATTCCTGAACAGCGGTTTGCTGGATATACTAAACTAAAACTAAACCATTTTTTTTCGTTTACCAGGTAAGGCCCACTGAGCTATATAGCTGTTTTTTCAGAAGCGACTTGGCCACAAGTGATAGCACAACGAAGTGGCTTATCACGTGGGGCGGCATCGAACCCAAGGCGAGGGAGTTAACAACTCACCACCGTGGCACCCATACACGCATACCTCTTGAACAGGCCCAGCTGTGCGTATATCTGAGGTTGTGCTCTTGCATCAGAAATTGCCTCTTTTGTGTGTGTGTCCCCCGCCACGCCACCGGTGTAACGTTAGCATGCGTCGCTTATATCAGAACTGTACTCATGCACAGTGTGCTTTTATACAGCTTCTACAGTAGTGGATTAATGCGATCCCCACAGTCGTTAAACGCGGCTGGGTTCATCACAATGTACAAATAATAATCAGTTCTTGAATCACAAACCACTTAATCGCGTCAATTAATCGAATCGCCGAGGATGAATCGTTGCAGCCCAACAAGATTGGTGTGTTATGAATAATATAATTGTGATGGTTGTTAAAATCGGATATTTCGGATTCATGACGATTATCAAAAATGTTGCTGCTGCCAATTTTGTCCTGATGAATCAAAAGCAAATGAACAAAGGAGAAATCGCGAAACAATGCAAAGCGAGACGGTGATAGAGACTCACGAATTGTTCACACGCCCACATAACTGTTAGCGCCAAGTACACTTTAGCGGCACCGTGCAAGTCCTTTTTTTTCCCTGCTTTCCGTGGCGCCTGTTAAACACGTCTTCAAACGCGTCCACCGATAAAAAGTAATAACAGGACCCCATGGCGCAGGGCGCGAGAGCAAGGTGGCCACCTGTGCAGGTGGGCGTCCCGGGGCTCGCGATCGGAACGTCCGACCACCGCACCCGCGGGGACGTCTTTCCGTGGAAGCTGAGCGACGGTTCGCGCGCCCGCTCGCATCCAGCAACGCGTACTCCAGAACGAGCGGGGGAACCTGAGACTTCTCACATTCCACTGGGCCCAGTGCAATAACCACTGACCGCGCGCACACTGGCCCAGTGCAATAACCACTGGGCCTAGTGCAATAACCACTGGCCACTCGCACACTGGCCCAGTGCAATAATCACTGGGCCAGTACAATAACCACTGGGCCAGTACAATAATCACTAACCATGCGCACACTGGCCCACTGCAATAACCACTGGCCCAGTGCAATAACTACTGACCACTCATACACTGGCCCACTGCAATAACCACTGGGCTAGTTCCCACAATCGTGGGCTCTGTGCGCAGAGCCTCCAGGGAATTCCTGCAGAGAGGAACCCAAGTGCATTGCCCGTCCTCTGCAAAGTGCACTTTAAACGGCCTGTGATGTCAACGTTAACAAAAGTGAGCGCCCGCGTTCCAAAACGACATCTGAAATATCCGCGGTAATATTTTAATTACAATAACCTCGCCTTCTCAGTTGCGTTTAATATGGATGTAAAATTATCCATGGATTGGCATTGATTCCTTTGCTAGTGATTCACGCATCAAAGTGCACATATCAGATTTGATGATTTCTGACTCGTGTATCTTGTACGTAACCGATCCATGGAAACCCTGCTGCCACCCATGGAATCCTACATGATGCACCACATCATCATAGGCCATGATCAGTCCACTGCTGAATGACGACGGCCTCCCTGAGCAAAGAAAAGATCCCCTCTAGCCCCCCCGCACGAGGCGATCTCGTCGATCCGTGTCCGCGGCGGACACGTCTCTCTCCCGGGGCGTGCTGCCTCCCTTGGCTGCCACTCCGTCGTTATTACCGACCACCGGCAGTGTCGCCCCGATGAAGGTGGGCATCGCTTCTCAGCGTGTTCCACGCTCTATGCAACATTTGTTTAAACTCTCAAGCGGCTCCTGGGACTCGGGGAAATAAACACATCACGAGCACGGGCTGTTTTGTTGTCGCGCAGGTTTTTTTGTTTTGCCCTGCGTTGCTCCCGGGGGGAGGAGGAGGAGGAGGAGGAGGGGTGGGAGTTTCGGTGGCCGCAGTCGGATGAGGGGCAGCCACCAGTGACCCCTAGGACAGGTTTCGCACCATTTTTCTTCTGCCCTTTCCTTCCCTGGGCCCGGCTCTTGATCCCAACGGAGAGCAGACCACCCTGGCTGCGGTGTCACATCTCAATATTTACACATCTAACAGGACCGAAGGAGCGGTGGGTGGGGGGGCCGTTTGGCGGACGAGAGAGGAAAAACAAAAATTAAAACGAACGCGCCACATGGCTTAGAGGATTCACAAGCTGCCGTTGTGCATCTGTGCGATGGCAATTAAAAGAGCGGCACGCGTGCCCCGTGGCCAGCGCTCGACCCATACCTCCGCCCGCCCCTGTGTCTGTGTGAGGCCCGAGACACACACGTGTGTGTTCCACGTGCGTGCGTGCATGCGTGCGTGCATGCGCGCGTGTGTGCGTGCGTGTGCGCGCGCAAGCCCGAGCATCCCGTGCCCTTGTGTGAACGACGGACGGGGGCGGGGGGAAGCGCGCTTGGCAGGTCATCGCGTAATTCTGCAAGTCGTTGGACGCGATGAGTAAAAAAAAAAAATTTCTGCGTTAATCTTTCCGCGAACTTCGCCCACGCCTTTCACCTCAGGGGGCGTCATCCCAGGACGCTCCGTTCTCTCCACCGCCTTCGTCTTTGACGAGGTGACCCCTCGTCACTCGCTCCGATCGAGCTCTTGTCGCTTCTGTCCTCCGCAGGTGCCGTCACGGCTTTTGACCCGTACGACGACGACGACGACGACGATGGCGCCAGCGTCGGCGGAATGGACGCCGGCGCGGGCCCTACCAGGAGGCAGCGCAAGCGACGGGGCCATCAGCAGGTGACGGCGACGGAGACGCCGGCAGCGGCGGTGCTGCCGCCGCCCGCCAAAGCCAAGCCGGCCAATGAGTACGTAGAGGAACGCGTCCGTGCGTTCCCGTGCGTGCGGTCTGCTCAGGCCTTGAGCAAGATGGGGAGGCGGGGGGAGGAGTGGGAAGAGCGCGCAGTGAAATAAAATAAGACTCGCGAAACAACCCACTCGAGATGTTCTCTCTCTCTCCGTCCCACGTGATGGTCCCTTGGCATCCTCCTGTTAGGCTCCGGTCGTTCTGCTCCTGGGGATGCGATCGCCGGGAGCGCAAGTTGGGTCCGACGCACCTGGCACGATTTATGTTTTCCAGCGTCTGCCCACGGCGCGACGCCCCTAATAAGCTGGCCCACGTTACGAGGCCACTCCTTTCATACTGGCTCCTCGTCCCAACACAAACAGCGGCGAAAGCATCTCGTTTTCCTCCATCTCTCTCTCTCTCTATCGTGTTTACCGTTACCCAGATTTTGTGCTGAGCATGCAGCTGACGACAAAAGGTCACCATCTGGCTTTCGTTATTAAATTGTCCGGTATTGAACCTGCTTAATACCGCGTCTCTTCTGTTTATATCGGCCTCCCGTTTTTGTTGTTGTGCTCAAGGCACATCTCACCACCGTGGGTGCCGTGGTGGTGACATGTTAACTACCTTGCCCGGTATAGAGGAGGTCGTGCGTTCGATCCCGACCTGTATATTTCGAGTTTGCGTGTCTCTCTCCCCGTGGTCGCGTGGATTATTCTCCGGGTCCTCCGATTTTTCCCTCTCCACATTTAGAATCAACGTGCGTTCATAGCATTTGGCCGCGATACATTTCTACACAATAAGCCACTTTGTTGAGCTATCATTTGTGGCTGGGTCGCTTCTGAAAAAGAGTTGTACAGCTCAGTGGGCGGTACTTGGAAAAGATAAATAGTTTAGTTTAAATACTTTAACTTCGCCAGCGAGGGCCCGGGCGCACGTCGGCTGCTGGCAATTTCGACCCGAGGCCTCTTTAACATCGCTTCACTTTGGATTCATTCCATCGCTGCTTTATACATTCAACTTTTTGAGCAAAGTCTGCTTTTTTGTTGTCGCAATATTGTGGGTGACAGATGATGGAGATTCATTAAAGAATTCGGTTTTTGGTTTTCTGCCCCCCCCCCCCCCCCACACACACACACGCCAACGCCGACTCTCACCGTGCTGTTGAATAACTTTGAAAGCCAGGTCCTCTTGGCCTGAAGTGTGCTTTTGCGCAAGACCTCGTGGGAACAGGTTTTTAAATCGGTCTGCATTTTTATTTTAAAACACGCACACCCCGTGTGTGTTTATGCTAAGTCATAAACTCGCCCAGAAGCCGGCTGACACAGAGCACGTCCCCCCCCCCCCCTCCAGCCGACGTGAAATTAACCGTGGCGCTTACGCGGGCGTAAAGCAAACAAGCAAACAACTGAGGGGGGCATGGACCGAGAAGGATTGTGGGAAGAATGTGCTTCCCATTAGTCTGAGGAAACTGCCTCTCCCCCCCCCCCCGACTACCCCCCCCCCCATTTTCCACATGGCTGCTCGCGAAGCATCGCACACCTGAAAACGGTAAATGAGAAATGACGGCAGATGATTTGCGTTTGCCGATGATGTCCGTTGGACCGGTGATGTCATTTCCAAAGGAAACCCACTTAACGTTCCCGTCTCTTTGAGTCACTGTGAAGGGTAACAGGTGACGACAGGCTGATCGCAGCCTTTGATTTGTCTGAGCTGTCGCAAGTTTCCGATTCTCTGCCCCAGCGTTCATGCCGAGGAGCCCCTTGCTTACATAGAGCCGGCGTGTAGCCCGCTTCTTCCAGGCTGGAGCTAGGTGTTTTCTCTTTCTCTCCTAGCCCTTCACCATCCCACTGCTGGGAAAAGGCCTGCCCCACGTGTCTTCCACCCCTCAAGATCTCGTGCCACCTTGACCCTTTGCGCTGCTCCTAATCTTCGGATCTCGTGCCGCGAGATAATGTTCTGTCTTCCTGCGTTGATGTTACCTATTAGATATGCTGCCAAGCTCTAAATGAATTGTTTCACTTTGCAAATTACATTTGTTCTCGTTTTAACTATGGCATTATAATTTATAATCGTTTTATTCCATTTTCGTTCCATTAAAAACCCCCCTGTCCCTTGCTCTTTACCATACTTGAGACCAGGATAATGCCACCTAGATCAATTGCTGGTAAACTACAAGAATCCGTTATTTTTTATCTTCAAACCCACTGGTAATTTTCTCTTCGTTACGTTTTTTCAATTAGCACAATATTCTATCCAAGTACCGTTGATTATCATTCGTGCCAAAGTGTACAGGGTGGCCAAATTGACTACTTGCACACTGGCGCAGTGCAATAACCACTGACCACATACACACTGGCCCAGTGCCTTTACCACTGGTGCCAGTGCAATAACCGCTGACCATGCGTACACTGGCTCAGTGCACTAACCACTGGGCCAGTATAATAACCACTGGGCAGGTTCCCACAATTGTGGGCTATGTGCGAAGAGCCACCAGGGAATTCCTGCAGAGAGGGATCCAAGTGCATGGCCCGTCCTCTGCAAAGTGCACTTTGAACGGCCTGTGATGTCATCGTTAACAACAGTGAGCGGCCGCGTTCCAAAGCGATGTCTGAAATATCCGCGGTAATATTTTAATTGCGATAACCTTGTCCTCTGAGCTGTGTTTAATATGGATGTAAAATGATTCGTGGATTGACATTGATTGCTTTGCTCGTGATGCTCGCATCAAAGTGCGCGTGTGACATTCGATGATTTATCTTGTACGTGACCAATTCTTTAAAACTCTGCTGCCACCACGAATTTCTACATGATGCACCGCATTATCATCAGCCACGAACAATCCACTGCTGGATGAAGGCTCTATCCGAAGCACTCGCCCACCTCCCTAATGAACTCGCGATGCGACAAACTGATTTCTTCGCTGCATTTCCCCAGTGGACGTGCTCTCTGGCCTGGTTCCCTCCCTTGGCTGTCACTCCTTCGTTAGTCTCGACCACCGACCATCGTCTCCTTGCGCTGCCCAAAACCCACTTAGTGCTGTCAGCGGGCAACATGATGTCTCTAATTGCAGCGTGTTCTCTGATATGCGAGTTCCTCTGGCTCTCTCCTGCATCTCTTCACTCTTCTTGTTGCGCTTTTCAGGAAGCTGTTCCAGACAACTCGATTCGCGAATCGAGTTGTCACCCCGATTCGGGACAATCCCTCAATATGCAGAGGAGAATGAATATTTTTTTACATTATCAACAAATACAAACGCGTCTGCCTCTTGCTGAAGCGAATGAATATCAATTAAGACTGCCATCAAAGCTGTCACCTAGACATGATTGACACCTGCATTTCAATGCATGCTGGGTCAATAGCCAATCGTATGCAAGGGGGAAACATATCTTGTGCACACACTACACACAGACACACGCATACATACACACACAGACACACGCATACACACGCGTACACAAACACACAGAGGTCCCTTTATGCCCCGATGGGACGAACCCTTACACGAGGTCAGGATCGGTTTTCAAAAAAAGCCCGTGTCACGCTCTGCGCGGCTCGGCACTTATTTCGTCCCAAGTTCAGCTCAGGTAAAAAGCGGGGGGCCCAGAGTTATTAGAGCTTTCTTTGCGCTAACAGAAGTTGATGTGTCCGTGCAGCCCAGATGTATAGTAATAATAATAGAAAGAATATACAGCCCTTTGTCAATCCACTGCTGGATGAAGGCCTCCCCACGTTTCGTAGAGTTTGTAGCGGTCATCGGGCCGCGCCTTATCTTTCAGTGTTTAATTTTCAACGACGACACAGAGACACATTATGAACGGGAAGGGGGAGGGGTAACACGTCCTCCAAAAGGGGGCAATGCAATATGCTAGTGATCCCCAGCTGTGGTCCAGAGAGACAGAGACAGACGGTAGGGAGAGGGAGCGATAGCAGAATAGGAAAAACCAGAACGAGGAGGATGAGAAAAAGAAAAAAAATGGATTGTAGACAGAAGTAGAAGAAGGGAGAATATGTCTTGACTTAAAGCTTTCGCGACTGCAGGAATTGATATTCTTTGTGTCTTTCGGTAAAGTCACGTAGATGGGTTCAAAGAAAATAACAAAAACTACGCCGTTTCGATCGCAGGACAGGCAGTCGTCATCAGGTGGAGAAGATGATGACAACCGCCTGTGTTGCCATCGAAACGTCGGAGTTTTTTTGTGATTTTCTTTGAACCTATCTACGTGACTTTACCGAAAGACCCAAAAAATAAGGAGAGTGTGTATTTATACTGGAGGAATCCGATGAGCTATAAAGCTCTTTTTCACACATGTCCAGTGTGGGTCACTAAAGCCAGGGGACAGGGCCCTCGGACCAGTTTAGATATCACTCTCACCACTGATGTTATCCTTGGCCGGGAATCGAACTCGGGTAGCCGGGTTCACGGCGCAGTATACTAACCTCTGCACGACCGCTGAACCCCGCCAGCTGTTACACGGCTGCATGTTTAAAAAGCCAAGAATCCCCCAAAAGTTGGAGAGATTACGTTAAAGATGCAACAGTGGGCCCATTGATTGTGCGCGCGCAACGTGCATCTGCGTTGGTGACAGCGACATTTAGACAGCAAACTGCTACCATACCTGGAAACAGGCCGCGGGGGCAGCATGAGAGAAAGGGAGAGAGGGGAAAAAACGTTCAAGAAAAACAAACCTCTGTTCTTCTCGAGTATGTGTTCACTCCCCCCCAAGCGAAGCCCCCCTTCAGTGTTACAATAAATGCACTGTGTATACATTTCAGCGTGACGCACGGCGTTTAAACAAAAAAAAATTAAACCCAGAGCGCAAAAAAACGAAAGAAAAAAAATCACCAATCGCTGATCGGTCCGCGGAGGCCGCTCACTCGGAGGGGTTGCACGCCGTGCAGACACGACATAATTGTTTCCAGCCTTGGGTGGGGGCAGCCCTTTGTCACCGATGCCCCCCCCCCTCGCAACCACCGCTGCCATCCCTCCCTTTACACCCCGTCCCTCTCCGCCCCCTTATC